GTGAATTTTTCTGAGAGATACTTCAAACAACAAACATCACCGCAGAATAATCTTTTTTTTTAAACAATTTTGATTCATAAAAATGAAATTAGGTGCATCCTTAGGATTGAATGCTATATTCAATGGGGCTTAAAATTTAAATTGAATAAATTTAGAAAATAACTAAGTAAAATAAAATTGCAGTACAAAAATTACAACTAAGATAATAATTGTAGTGTTCGTTCAGTTAGCATAAACAAAAATGATGAATGAATGTTAAGATAATTGTATCAAAATAGGCAGATATAGTTCATATAATAATTTTTATGATGAAATAAAGTAAAAACTAAAAATAAAGATTGTACATTAAAATAGTCTAATATAGAAAAGCGACATTTCAAAGCAAACTAAAAAAAACGAACAAAAACGGTTTTTAATTGAATTTTAAAGAGGTTGTAAGACTCGAATTTAATTAGGCTAGATGTGAGGCAGTTCCAAGTTTTCGGAGCGTCAAACAAAAGTCAAACTGTTTCTCTTGTTGTTTTCAATTGGAGTTTTAAATTTTCTGCCATTACTGGTTCTGGTCGATTTTGGTTCCCGGAAGTTATCAAAAACTGTTTTCAAGTGGTCATCTATCTTTATCAATCCCATAAATTCTTTTGTATAGTTACAGACAAACTTTGTCACATATTGCTCATTGTGTTTTTTAAATTTTATAAATAAATATTCTTTTTCCTAATTAATGCTTTAATGTTTGAAGTCATGCAGGGTTGTGATTGTTCAAATTTTTTAGAACTCCTCTGTTTTATTGGGTAGCATATGCTAATTTGATTCTTTAAAACTTCTAGAAAAGCATTGAATGCATCATTACAACATTGCTTAGAAATAATTTTATGCCAATCTTGACGGTATAAAACAACCACCAATTTTTGAATGTTTTTACCTAAAAAACTATGTAAAGAAATTTGTTGTTTGGATTTGGGAATATTTTTTAGTGCTGCTTTTGAGAGGAAAATGGGAAAGTGGTCTGATATGTCAGTGATAATAGTAAAAAACGTTTAAATGATTTGTGAAGATATTGTTTACAATAGTCTGTTAAGTTTCTGTAATTCTAGTGGGCGAATTAATTGTTGGAAAGATAGAAAATGAGTGAGTATATCAAGAAATTTGAGTGCACTGGGAGAATTCCTTTTAACATCAACGTTGAAATAACCAGTAACATAAATGTTTGTTTTTAGAAACAACAGTATTTAAAATGGTTTTCAAAGAGTTAAACAGGTTATCAGTACGTGTGTTGGCTGATTCACAAACATTAATAATTAAGCAATCTTTTTGATAGATTAGCTCAATGGCATCAGTTTGTAGAACATCCTTTTTTACTTGTAAATTTTTCCTAGGTATTCATATTTTAAGTCAGTATTTCTAACAAGTGCCAAGCCACCACCGTGGGTGTTCCTTCTATTTGAAGTTAAGACGTTATAACTGTTTAATGAGTCAGATTGGTAATTTATGTAATGGCTTTAGTCAGATTTCTGTGAAGGATATCACATCAAGCTTCATGCCACAATCATCGATTACATCCACTTTGTTCAGTAAGCTTGACAGTTTAAACATGACAAATTAAAATTATTCGGGTCATTTGGAAAAACTTTGGAAACATGAATTTTAAGTTAATTC